GTATGAGTTTACTGCCTACATGTGTGTAAGTGCACCTGGGTCCTCTGCAAGAGCAGCCAGTGCTCTTAACCACTGAGCCATCACTCCAGTCCCTGACCATTTTCCTTCTTAAAGAAGAGTAATCTGAAATGTAAGACACTAACCACTAAAAACTGATCTAGTGGGGCTGGAGAGATGGCTCAGCGGTTAAGAACACTGGTTGTTCTTGCAGAAGACCCAGGTTCAAATCCCAGCACCCACATGGCAGCTAACAGCTGTCCGAAACTCCAGTCCCAGGGGATCTGACAGCCTCTTCTGACCTCCGTGGGCATTGCATGACATGGGTGCACTTACCAACATGCAGGTAATACACGCATACACATTAAAAAAAAAAAAACTGATCTAGTGAACTAAATATTATACAGTTATTTTAAAATACTCGAGGGGCCAGAGAGTTGGGTCCGTGGGTATGGGTGCTTGTTCTGCAAACAGGACTTCATTTCCAATCCCCAGCACCTACGTAAAAAGGCAGGCATGCCTATAACCCCAGCGTTGGGAGGTGGAGACAGAATCCCCAGAGTTCTCTAGCCAGCCAGCCATAATAGTGAGTTTGCAGTTCAGTGAGAGACCCGGTCTCAGGACAGTAAATTGGAAAGTGGTAGAAAAAGACACCCCAAATCCTACTCTGGCTTCTGCATGCACATGCATGGGTAAATAGACACGTGCATGTACGACACATAAACTACACTATATACATACAGACACACACAGAGAATACTGTAAAAATACTCCAAACCAGCTGGGCATGGTGGCGCACGCCTTTGATCCCAGCACATGGGAGGCAGCAGGCGGATCTCTGTGAGTTCAAGGCCAGCCTGGTCTACATAGTGAGTTCTAGGACAGCTGAGGCTACAGGGAGACCCTGTCTCAAAAAGGGGACCAAAAAAAAAAAAAAAAAAAAACTCCTAAACCAATACACAAGAATTATGAATTACTAAATGAAAAGTAAGCTTTTGGAACTATCTGTAGTACACAAGTGACTAATATTAGATGATATATTAAAGAAATGAAAAAAAATGTTGAGATGGTGAACACAGTTTTTTGTTTTCTCAGAATATTTTTTGGGAAACAGTAGTCATCCTTTAGCTGACTTATTTTTGCAAAACTTAAGGGAACTTTAGTACAAGAGTAGCCTTTAGGGCTAGAGGCCAGGCCAAACTGGGCAGGTTCCTGAAGGAAGCGGTTGTAACTGGCACAGTCAGGAAGAAGGTGGAGAGTAATTAGCATAGCTGTATAAACTGTACCTTCAGGCTCTGGTGTAGGGTTGATGAGATGATAATAGTTAACTTGGAGTCCTTATCAAGTGCCAGGCCCTTTGCCAAGCATTTTTCTTTCATCAGCTCCCACAATCCCATTCACTTACCTCTTGTAGTGCTCTGAATGGAATCAGAAGCTGTCCACCTGACTATCACAAGTGTGAAAGTATGTTCTTAACTGAGAGCTATTTACACTGCCTGGCTGGCAACAGCATCCACATCTCTTGCCTTCAGCAGCTGGACCCCTGCTTGTTCTGTCTGGATAGGAGCAGTTCTGCCACCCCCTCCACTCTCTGTTCTCTGCACACTTTAGCTCTTACTGAACAGAGCCCCACTTTGAGGATGAAGCTTATGATGAAGAGGTCACAGCTGTGCTGGTGTGCCCTCTCACCTCTGCTACAAACCATTCATTTCCTGTTTCACCTCCTGCCTTGTTTGTTTTGTTGCATTGTTCTGAACACCACAAGTCCAGTTCTGTTGCTTTAGCTTGGGGAGAACAACTACCAGAACTACTTCAGTTAACCCTTAAAGCCCCGAGAGGTGCAGTGGAGATAGCCTGAGCTTGTTATACCCTTTTAGTGATAGGCTTTCTCCTATGATCACTTAGTTTTATTTTTTCTCTCCATTTGAAAATAAACTTTTTCCCAGAAGTGCCTTTTTGTATTTTCAGAATTGTATTGTACACCTGCATTTATAATCTCATTTTATGGAGGTAATTCAAAATAAGAAACAAAATAGCTTTTCTTTTTTTTTAACTTTTTAAAAAATATTTTATTTATTTTTATTTTATATGTATTAGTGTATTGCCCTGCACATAGGTAAGTCGTACAGTGCCCACGGAGTACAGAAAAGGCCATCTCTCCAGCCCCTTAACTTTCTTTATTATTTTTATTTTATGTATTGTCTGCCTGTGTATAAGTGCACCTGTGTCATGCAATGCCCTTTGAGGTCAGAAAAAGGCGTCAGATTCCCTGGGACTGGAGTTGTCAGCCACCATGTGGGTGCTGGGAATCGAACCCGGGTCGTCTGCAAGAGCAGCCAGTGCTCTTAACCACTGAGCCATCTCTCTAGCTCTGAAAAATAGCTTTGCTTATAGATGTCATCTGATTCTATCATTATCACTTTGTAAGTTGTCTGTTTTGTTCCCTTGGAAATAGTTCCTTTCCTGGGAACTAGAAACAAGCTGTTCTAAACCAGGCTGTGATGATATGCTACCCAAAGAGCAGTCCTGAAAAAGAGGTAAAGGTAATGTTCAGTGCAGAAGTAAACCAGACTCTCAAAACAGAACCTATTTAATATGCCCCAATTTTTAATTCAGTGTGAGTTAACTACTTAGGAATGCCACCCTGAAGTGCCAAGCTGATTAAGATACCTGACTTGTTTCTTTTTAAACTTTACTCTTTAAACTTTAAACTGTATTTCATTTAGCTGGGCGTAGTGGCATATGCCTTTAGTCCCAGCACTTGGGAGGCAGAGGCAGGTGGATCTCTGACTTCAAGGCCAGCTTGGTCTACATAGTGAGTTCCAGGTCAGATAGGGCTACAAGGGAGACCCTGTCTCAAAAAGACTCCCCACCCCAAAAGAAATCCCCACAAAAGTTTATTTCATTTAGTGTGGCTGTGGGTGTGTGTGGGGGGGGGTGGTAGTGGTGGTGATAAAACCCAAAGCCTTGCTCATGATAATAAGTGGGTACTCTACAACAGAACTTACAGCCCTGTCACCTAATACTTTGTTTTTTATATTTGTTTATTATTTTTATTTTATGTTTATGAGTGTTTTGCCTGCATGTATGTAAGTATACCAGTGTCATGCAGTGCCAGCAGAGGTCAGAAGAAGGCATTGGATCCCCCGGAATTGGAGTTATGGACAGTTGTTAGCTGCTGTGTGTCTGCTGAGAGCTGAACCCAGGTTCTTTGCAAGAACAGTCAGTACTCTTAACTGCTGAGCCATCTCTCTAGCCTCTTTGTTGTTTTTTAAATTTTTTTATTTTTTTGGTCTTTTTGAGACAGGATCTCCATGTAGCCCCAGCTGCCCTGGAACTCACTATGTAGAGCAGGCTGGCCTCAAAAATGACAGAGATCTACCTGCCTCTGCCTCCTGAGTGCTGGGATTAATATATTCTTTTTTATTTACTTTTATGTATATGAGTGTTTTTCCTGTACGTATGAAGGTGTATCACATGCATGCAATGCCCTTGGAGGCCAGAAGGGAATTTCAGCTCTCCTGGAACTGGAGTAATGGAAGGTTGTTAGCTGCCATATGGGTGCTTGGAACTGAACCCAGAACCTCTGCAAGAGCAGCCAGTGCTCTTGACCTCTGAGCCATCTCTCCAGCCCTCATCCTTTTTTTTTAACTCTTAAAAAAACTTTATTGAGAATTTCATACGTGTGTAAGGTATTTTGATCAAATCCCCGCCCATCCCTCCCCTCCAACACCTCCCATATCACCCCCTCACTTTTTTTTTTTTTTGACAATTTCATGTACTCTTTCTTTTTCTTTTTTTTTTCTTTTTTCTTGGTTTTTTTTGAGACAGGGTCTCCCTGTAGCCCCAGCTATCCTGGAACTCAC